TCGGCTTTTTGTTTAAAAGGATGACAATTGAGGAAACAAGAAGTCGACTAAGAGGATTAAGAATCGTCTGTTGTCATTTAAGCTTCACATCAAAATCTAATTTTTTTGATGACGGTAATGGGTTGTTTGTCTCACCTTGAAGGTTGTTGTAAGTACTGTGGCTTACTAATATTATATCTAGTAAATCGATTTTTATTATTTTGTAAAATGGATGACAATGAAAACATCCGACATATGTCTCAAGTTCCATATGCTTTAATATCATTGAATTGTGTTTAATCCAGTGTTGCTATCTGAATAATTTTTTTGAACGAACTGAGAACTGTCACTGCTAAAAAATAGATTAGGATACATAGCTCTCGGGCCCGGGCCCCCCCTACGAAAATCTGATAATTGTTTTATTAAGTATTTATAGAGAAGAACCAGTTAATGTAGAGGAAGTGATGAAAGAAATGTCAAAATCAGCACGAAAAATTTAATGTATGAATAATGAATTAAATATTTAAACTTATGAAGAATGAATATAGATTTAAGGATACAAAATAAGGGTTTTTTAATTTTCGAAAATGGGCCCCCCCCCTTAAAAATTTTCTGGCTACGCCCCTGCATCCAAATTAGCTCTTCCAGCTCTGGCTCATTCATTCAAATTTCCAATGTTTTAAAATTTCCACAACCAAATTCAAATGATTTTGTTTGAAACTCCCACACATTTTAATCTAAAAAGCAATGTGTGTCTTACGATAACAATATATTTTATTTATGAGATGCTTTTCGCGGAAACCTTAATTCCTACTTATGCTTTTCATTGTGATGAATTTTAAAATTGTTTTTATTTCACATCTGCCCTAGAAATCGGGTATGTTATTGTAAACAAAAACCAGATGCATTAAGTAACGTGAAAAGCACATTATGGATGACCACGACAGTGGCCATAGACAAGTATAAAGTAAGAGGTATAAAACAGAGACAACTGAGAAAGTAAACGATAAAAAACAATAAAGTTTGGCAATTATCCCGGGTGCGCGAATTCATGAATAAAAAGATATTTGTCAGCTAATAATAAAATACCCCGAGCATTTTAATAATGAACTTGACGCCGTTCTGTATAAGAACTTCTATATACTTAATACACGATGTAATAAAAATGATTTGAATATTCAGAGGAACTGAACCCAATTAATCATCATTAAAGTACAGCGAAACAACGATCAAAAAAATTATGAATAGATTGATATGAAGGAAGTCGATAGAAAGTTTTTCGGTACACTTGTACTTGACCGCCAACACAAGATCGCTGGCTGTTTTATTTATATAATTTGCATCATGTCGTTCTGCTAGATTTAAGCTTCACAGGTTGAAATTTGATCCTAAGATGTCTAAACAAAGAGATTAAGATAAATATCAGCGCCATTTTTAACGGGCTAGTGCACTAGTAATTTAGATTGAAGTATAAAATTTTTATGGCAAACTTCTACAACATTTGCTTAATCGCATGTGCAACTAGATTCGTTTCAAATGAATACATTCTATTGTTCTCTCGCTTGTGTTCCTAAATTCTCTAGAAGGAATTGAAATTTGACACTGCACATACATTGTATGGACGGTTATCGAGCAGCTGAAATTCACGTTCCTTTTATGAAAAGATGAATTGAATCAGCACATCGTAAATTTATTTTGCGAATTTTTTTCTTTTCCTTCTCATTTTGTTTGATGAGTGGGCGGGAAAGAGTTTTAAAATTTCATTGTGACGCATTTAAGTTTATCTTTTTACGTTCTTTTATATTATGAAATTTCAAGTGATAGAAACTGAATACATGTATGTGGATATTAATAACTTTTATTACTTTTGGGATCATTTACTAATTACGCGAGTTCTAATATGGAGTTTTCTAGCCTTTAACAAATAGAGTCCATCTCAAGGAGGGGCTTAACACTACCTTGTTAAGAATACCAAGTCTCAGGTTGGTTGTAAATCTTCCTATCTTAAGAAAGTTGGTATGTTACTCTCAAGATACTCGGGTTTCTCGATTTCAGTACTTGACTGGTTTCAGCTTAATCCTACTTCGTAGAGCTATCAATTTTGAAGGAGTGATGAGTCTATTTATATTCCATAAAGCTACTCTCGACTCCTTACTGATGCTGTATTTATAATCTATTCTTTAACAAACGGTTTCCAGGTCATATTTGGTTCACTTGATGTATTCATACTTGATGAAACAAAAATCAGATTTAAGCCTCGATAGACCTTCCAATTTCTAAAATATAAGACACATCAAATAAATTAAGCTAATTTTATCGCAATTGAAAGTTTTCATCTAGAAATTCTGGATATAAAATTAGCACGAAAAAGATATGCTTACATCTAGGAAAAGTTGGAAACCTAATTAAGCATATCTACGTGATCATAACTTCATCATCTTCATGACTTTCCTAAACACTCTACTAATTATGTTTGTGATAGATACTTTTTGACATTTATTCGTTTCCATTTTTGACTGAAATAATTGTGATGAGCTTTCCAAGAAGGAATCCTAATTTTCCTTGCGGCAATAAAGCAAGCTTTATAATTTAAGCAGCAAGCAATAAAATTAAAGCTCCATAATTATGGAATTACTTGAATTATCTGCTGAGATTAAGTGAATTAATTAAAATGTTCTAAAGATTTATTGAGCTATTAAAAAGTGATTTGGATAAATCTTAAATCATCTTGTAGGACAATAGAGAAAGCTGGTATTAAAGGTTTATTAAAAGTGAGGATTATTAGACTATTATCAATAAGTCTAAAGACTTGAATACTTCACTCTGAAATCGCCATTTTGAATACAAATGGATTCTGAACTCGATGTGGCTTCAAAATGGCTCCTTGTGTTAATCTGGTCAGGAAATGTGCTCAAGAATTGAATCCTACAAGTGAAATCGATAGTACTCTCTAGAAGTTAAAAATAATAAGTTTGTTTCACGCGTGCTGTGCTAAAAGTGTATTGAACCTCTTAATTCTAGCATTTTCTAAAACAAAATTGATTTTACTTTGCCGCAAAATATTAATTTTATCTAAGAATTATGACTAAGCACATAACTTTGACAGGATCTGATTTATGAGTTCAAGTGTTATGTTTAAGTTTTAATCCATTTTTATCCTCTTTGAAATCAGTTTTACTAGTGACATACCCCGCTAAAATATTCCTTTTTTAGATTCAAAGTTTAAAATCAATCCTCAACTCTCGAATGTCAAATTTCGTTTAAAGAGATTATTGAACTTTATAAAATCCCAATTAAAATGACTCATATTCCAAAGAATTAAGTGGAATTAAGTTTATTTGTCATAGTTTCGGAAGATATTTGATAAAATTCAAAACCAGTTAAGCGAACGCAAAATATTTTATGATCAAAGTTAAGAGATATTGAAGGAAGAAGAATGATTTATTGAGATCTGCTGCCGGTTTTAAATAATCCATTTACAGAGAAATATTTATGAATTTTTAAACTTTGCTTGATGATAGTCAATTAATAAAAATTCTGAAGTGACGAAGGAATGTGAAAAATCTTATGCAATACGTTTTATTACGTTGCGAAAATGATTGAGAATCTTGAAAGACGTTAGACAATCAATTATTGTGGATACATATTGCCATCGTAATCTGAAAAGAAAAACCTCATTTCGGTGTGTATATTTATTTTTTTGGGGTAAAGCAAATTTTTCATCAACGTCACATGACACGTAGCATGAATCAAATTATAACGCCTCAAGTATTAACAGATCTGCTTGTCTTTGCCCTTCCTTTATATGTAATTATTTGTTAGAAAACTGATCAACTTGAAAGAAGAAAATCACATGCTTAACTGACAGACAATAGGAAGGGAAAATTGAGTTTGAAAACAAATTCTTTCTCAGTTTAGATTCATTTTTAGACATACTCGTTAAGTGAGATGAGCTTTTTGCTTTCTCGTGAGAATTTTACTTTAAAAAAAAGCCGAACATTTAACAATATTTGAGAGGAGAAAAATCCAACAAAATTTTCTCTGATATCGATATATCCATTTACTCAAGCGGTAGACGAGCATGTGAGTATTTACAAAAATTATTATTTTGTACATGAAAATTGCTCACGTAATAGACATTATTGTCATAACTCAATATTCAAAACATACTGCTCCAAACTGATTCGATTTTCGAAGAATTGAACTTCGTCTTATTTTTTTTGTTACTTTTAACTTCTCTTTTGCTTCCCATGTCACATGCCTCTGGTCTACAAAAAAAACTTTTTCTTTCCTTTACCAACGAATTATTTTGCACAAAATTGTGAATATTATAATGGGGGGTTTGGTGAAAAACTGACATTTGAGAGAATCTGAGGGATTTTTTTTGCAGGTCAAACGGAAGCAATTTTTCGATTTTAAATTGATAATTGATTCGAAGTCTCTTAAAGTAGTCTTTTGGGGATTTTTGAAATTTAACGAATTTTTGATTTTTGAATTTCATGGTTTTCAATGGAATATTCACCGCTCTTAATATTCTGGCTAAACCTCTATTGTGCCATATAGATTGATGTATGGAAAATAGTAGAGGTTAACTTAATCTTTGGTTTCATCCAGTTTCATTTAGCTAAAACCAAGATTTCGGGTAGCTTATGTTTGAGAAAGGGGGGGGGGGGGGTAGGTGTGTCAGGAGGTATTAAAAAATAAAATTTCTATTTTTCGTTATTGCGTTAAACGCAAACATTTTAAAAATTCAAAAACTTCAAAATAAATGTCAAAAATTCAAAAAAAAACTATCCGTTAAAAATTTATCAATCAAATTCCCAACATTTGCGTCATCTCCTACAATAATAAGTTCTCACAACACGATGATAGTATGTATAAAGACAGCTATACACACATTTTTCCTTCACAATATTTTCATTTCTTATTTTTCACGAAAAAAAATGAAGGAGGAAAAAGAAGAAAAAAATCTTCTTCAATAAAAGCAGAAAGTTTTAGTCGGAAAATTTTCAGTAGATTTTTGAGCGTTGAGTGAAATAGTTGTGAAAAAAAGAGGAAACAGAATTAAGTCTAATAAGAGAAGAAAGAAAAAAAAGTGAAAGAATTTGTGAATAAACATAAAGACAATAAGATATATAAAAATAGGGACTCATTAAATAATTTTTTTTTTTTGCTATTTTTAAAAACTATACATTTATGTGACTATAAAAAAGACTGTCAGTGTTGTCAAACGAGACTAATTATTTACGGGACTATAAATCATATTTTTTTGATTTTTTTTGTAAATAAATAATATTGATAGACTTTAGTGATACAATTAAATGAGATGCGTGATACATTCGTACAAATACTCAAAGATAAACCTGAAACCAGCTTCAATTCAGATAGTTCACACAATAATGAAGGTCGAATATTCTTTTTATTTTTTTAATACTGATAAAAATTAACTTTTTATTACTCCGCACACACGAAACAATTTATTTTTTCATCTCACTCGCAAATCACTGATTTTTTGCATAATTTTCTTTTTTTTTATTAATTTTAATTTTATTTCACTTTTCTCTCTCACAACGTTGACATGCGGTTTTAACTACTTGTTAGAGCGCCATTTACTCGCTCAATATTGTGTGCATAAAGTCCATGTGAACATTCATAATTCTTTAAATAGACTATCTTCAGTGAAAGTGTTTATAGAACAAAAGTTGAGATTTTCTTGTTCACATTTGATCCTCACGTTAAAAGAGAAAAAGAAGAAGAAAAAAATCAGTTCAATCTCGTCTTGTTATTGGATTCATAAAAGCGCACTTAATTAACGCAAAAGACGTAAACAAATACAAATAGTAAGTTGAGCGTGCTCAACTTGTAAATAGGATATTTTGCTATGTTTGTTGTGAAAACATTAAAATCTGATATTCACGAAGACATTTCCAAGAAAATTGGGGCGATTGGTGCTCTACTTATGCCATATTTTAATTTTAATTTGTTACTGTCAAATAATCACTCATTTCAAAATAATTAAACTGTCACAATTTGAAAGTGGCGAGCAATATTTTGAATTTAAAATTGAATTTTATTAAATTGAATTAGTTATAAAATTTAAATTGTTCCTTCCTTCTTTGTCATTTACGCGAATTTGTAACTGACAAATTCGTATCTTCTCTCATTTTAAGCCCATCAGGCAATTCTTAGATACTTTTCATACTCCTCGTATCCAGAACTTTCTTTTGGAATCGAAGTGTGAAAGTGTGTGAAAGGCACAAAATTTTGTAAGGTTCTTTCGTGCCTTTTGTTAAGCACGTTTCAGCACATAAACGGACAATTTTTGAAATTTTGCGAAAAAAACCATACAACAGTTCTTCTTCTTCTTCTTACCCTGTTTTTTCGTTATAAGCTACTACTCGTTACTAAGCTACTAGCTTAGTAAAGTTTTTTGAACTTGAAAATTTTTTGTAACCTTTACTAAGCTACTACCAAAAATAAAGTTTAATTAATCTTTTTCAACTTTCTAAGTATCAGTTTAAATGCCTTATGACATTGTCAATGAAATAAAATCGGGAAGATAGCAAAATTCTTTAAAAGAGTCAAAAAATTCAAAATTTTCATTGAAGTTCAATTTCTTTACTAAGCTACTACTACTCGTTACTAAGCTACTAGTGAGCCAAAAAAATCACTTTTTTATTCTTCTAAGCTACTAGCTTATAACGAAAAAACAGGGTATTTATCTTTATTAAGGTCCTTTTCAATAAATTTTAAGACCATTAAATTTATAAATACGAACTGCATTACAGGATATTATGTGTTTTGGTGTTAAATTTTATCGTACAAATTTATTTCTTTTACAAAATTGAGGATTTTATGTGTGACATTTTTGTCGTCAATTTTTAATGATTGATAGTTTATGTTATGTTTAGCAATAGCTATTTGGTTGTTTGAACACTCAAAAATACCATACAACAGTTTTAGAAAATTCAAAAATTCTTTCAACTGTTTTTCTCAATTGATGAACTTTAATGTCTCCTTTTCCTATTCTTCAAAATCTATGCCCAATCATCCATGAAATCAATTTATCAAGAATTCAAAACAAACTTTTTCAATTAAACGCAACATTCCAACAGCTTTCACAAATTATTTCATAGCTGTGCAATAGACATAGTCTTTTTTTCATTAATTCTTGGATGGCTGACTTAAAAGAATAACCAGATAATTAATAAAATTATAAACAAATATTTAAGAGCTCCAAAACTTTATGTAATTGAATCAATTCGCTATTCAGTCTCGCCTAGACTTCCAAATTGATTCATCCAGTTAACGAGACAAAGAAAGAATTTTACAGCACAGTGCCTTTGAAAAATTGCTCTCTAAATCGTTTCTTTTTTTATTTTTGGATTTTCCGAGTCGCTTCATATAAGGGCAATTCTTTGGATGAGTGGAATTTGAAAAAGATGAGCTTTCATAATCCAATGTCAATGAGTTTTGTGTCAATAAAATGTTTTCTTTAATTTCATATTACTGTGAAGGAATAATAAGCCAGAACTTTCGTAGATCATTAAGCATAATTAATTCTTTACAAGTGATCTATTGAAATGTTACAACTCACCCAAATTAAGTGAAAAATTGAAAAAATATGTTTGAAAATTTTATATTTTTTCACGGATTAAGACAAAAAAAAAGCTTCTTTATAACTCGATGACACAAGGAAATTTTTCAAAGAATTGAAATATTTCATTAATTACTGACTTAATGCACACAAAAAAGCAACCTAATTAAAGATTTTTGTCTGTTCTATAACTCAGTAAAAGTTATTCAATGTTAATTTCAATAGTTTTCTCTAATTTTCGATTCTTTGGATGATGAAAATTGAAAATTCCGATTTCTGTCATCGAGTTATTGACAAAAGAATCCAAATAACTTAATTAATACAGCGATTAGAAGTAAATGATATCAAAAGGAGTGTACATTTTATATTTTTACATCGATAAGAGTCATAAAATCAGTGCCTCTGATGGGAAAAATCAATTAAATTTCGATTTTTTGCTGAAAATTTTCCGAAAGTCATCCAAAGAATTGCCCATAATCTAAAATGATACTGTATGACTACTCACTCTCCCGCTCTCATTTATTACATATTTGCTTTATATACAATTTATTGTACAATATACTATGAATGAACAAGTGAATGAATGAATGGATGACGTATATGATGATGCTCATATCCAGTAACTCATCAAACATGTATCGAATTTTTTAATTTGCAGGACAAAATGGAGCAGTTAAAGATGTGTCAAAAAATGGATGGAACAATAATCACTTATCCCAAATTGACAGCGGAATGGTTAAAAATTCCACCACAAATTACCGTGGAAGGTCGTCCGAAACGTCAGCGTCCGACCCATCTGGGGGTAAGAGATGATGAAGAAGAATAAGAGCTTCTTTTAGTTAAAAAAATGGTAAACTTTTAAAATATATTTATTAATTAATTCTCGCAACTTTCCTCCTATTCTATGCAGCCAGGGGGATGCGGAACTCGATGGAGGGGTCGGGCCCAAAGGCGAATCACGCTGTGGAACTCAAGAAGCGGATGGGGTACATAATAGCTTGCCCATTAAACTTTTGAGATCTTAATTTTCTGATTTTTATCCTCACAGGTTGTTCAGTGGGATTGCTCTAATTGTTGGAACTATGATAGGTACGTAGCATATCCGTTGGATATAAGATTTTACTAATTTTTTTTGGGTAATGCAAAGAAAACATCTGACAATTGGATCTTAAGTACTTTTATCGGAGCACTTAAGGGTGTTGTAAACAGATGCGCACATAAAGTTCAAGTGCTGTTCCTTAATCCTGATAATTTCATTAGAATCTTTTATAAGCACTTGCCTTTTTTGCAGAAAAATTTGAAAAATTGACGGTTTGTAGAATTGTTGGAACTAAAACTTTTTTTTTATCTCCAATAAATTAGGTTCCGGAATATTCGTATCGCCAAGTGGTTTGCTTGTTAGGACAGGCTCCGTTGGTATAAGTTTCATCATTTGGATGGCGTGTGGTATTCTTTCCTTATTGGGTAAGTTCCAATTTTATTGATGACAATTTCGTACACGAGAAGTTCCTTTAATTCAAAAAGTTCTATGAACGATAAATGATGATGAATTGTAGGCATAACACAATGCATTTACAAGTAGCATACCCGTAATATCATAGACGTGATCATAATCATTCATATTTTCACACTGTGAAATGAACTGAATTGGTTATTGCAACGATAATGGCAGTAATTTCTGTTATTAACATAATCCTAATAAATTTACACAACATCCAGCAAGCCTCTGTTAAGGCAAAATCTAACGCCAACAGAGTAAAATAATGTTGTGCCTTGCTGTTAAAAATAAGTCATGGGAAAGAGAAGCGACTTCATCATCACAAAATGGATGAAGTTCTGTTGTTTTCACAGAGAAATATAAATACACGAGCATGTGACACGTCCAAGAAGACGAAAAACTCATCAACAAAACTATGTATGTTGTCGGTACTCTCCAAAAAAAATAAAGTCCTATTAATAAAGTGCGTGAGACTTTCCCGAGCTTTTCTGCAGCTCATATCTGTCAAGTATAAAATATTTTTATTCAGAAAGTAAGAATTGTATTTTTGTTTCCTTTTTTACCCGTGTGTCACGAGTTTTTCATTTTTCTCACGTACATATTACTGTATACTCACGACCGACTGTCCAACTATGAGAATATGGAAAGAAATTCTCGAGATGTGAGTGATTTTTCCGATTCTTATGAATTTTCAATAATCTCCAATGATCCACATCTTTATGAGCCGTGAGGGGTTATGTGTATTATGTCTGCTTTCCTAGACCTTTTTTTGTAGCCTTGAGAAATATGAGATGACCTCCCATAAAGGATATCACATACTCCGACACATTAAAGCAGATGAAATTGTCAACTGAACTTAATTTGATCCACATTGTTCTTCTCCAATGCCTGAATGTCTAATTTAATTTATGCAGAAAAGCAACATAAGAAATCCTAGACGACAATGAAGGTTGACAGCCATTACGTAAATCGCTGACATTTGTTTACTGTTTATTTACATGCATTTTTAATGAAATTGTCGCAAGTCTCTATAAATTCATAAACAAGTGATTAAGCTCCTAACTTGATTTGTTGGATAATTAAGCATGAAGTTTGTGCGTTGACGATTTGAATACACTGGAATTTTAAAGATCTAGCAATGAATAATGTAAATTTGAAAGATCCAGCATTGGATTTCTAAATTGAGAAGATTTTAAGAATCTTGTTGACTTTTCGAGACTGTAGACGATAATATAGCAAGCAACTGAGTATCTTTGAACTCAAATTACTGCTTAATTACTAAAAAAAGACGATCTGTAAACAAAATCTTTAATTATTTACTCATAATGCCCCATAATGCCTTAACAAGAGGTTCAAAGTCTTATTATTGTCGCCACAATGAACCTCTTAAATTTTCTTTTGACTTAATGCCAAATAAGGTGACATGTGACAAATTATGCATACGCAAATTGATGGTCCCACTAATTATATGATCAGATTAATGTTGATGACTGTAACAACTGTACAATTAAGCTAGTCTGATAATGGAACAATTAAGTGAAAAAATAATAATGTTCATGAGTCATACATCCTATAATATACATGCATGAATTTTAAGATAAATATCAGTCATGTGCCTAAAAGACTGACTAGATAGAACTCCTACAACGAGAAGAAATATTTACAATGTTCATTAACACTTTTACGCTATTAACGTCAATCTGCTACTTTTTATCTTACTACGATGCTATGTACAATAAGTAGACTACTGTAACAGCCTATCTTATTATGTACAGCCCAGATGCCTGAAAAGACATTGACATAGTCATTATCAATGAGTATTTGAATTGCGAATTTATTTGCTTGCTTGCTTGCAATATAACTGAATATTGAGGTCTAAATGGCATGTATTATAATGATTGTTTACTTCCCTATAGCTCATTTGTTCTCGACCAAATAATATGGATTGAAATTTAAAGTTTTTTTAACTGAAAATTTAAATTTTTGCATCTTTTTCTGGAAGCTTTGCTTCATTTTCTGGAATTTATTCAAAACTGAACATTCTGTTAAAAATTTAACACTGAAATTCGCAGTGAAATAAGTTTCATCGACTCTTCCTGGACATACTATCCGCCTTCCTATTTACCAACTTATTCATCGTCATTGTCATTATTGCAAATATTTAAACTTATGCGAAGAAAAAAATAAGAAGCGAGCAAAATATTTATCTACGTTTTGATTAATGATGATGTTATTCAGCTATCATTCTCTGCCTATACATTTCATCTATATTTTTGCTATAATAAAAATGACATTGAATGTAACTATATCGAAATTAATTGTATGATATATGTGAATATAAAAATTTGAAGAAAAATTAACGAGGATCGAAAAAAACAATTTTCCTTATCATGCGACTGGATCTTGACTCGTGTACGAAATTTAATTAATTCATTGCTTTCAATTAACTTTCACGATTCGTATTCAGAATAAATTAATTAAGACAGTTCAATTTTCTTGCTCATCGTCAGGTGCTCTCTCGTATGCAGAGTTGGGAACAATGAATACATCATCTGGCGCAGAATGGGCATATTTTATGGATGCATTTGGATCAGCACCTGCGTTTATATTCAGTTGGGTATCAACACTTGTTTTGAAACCATCACAAATGGCCATTATTTGTTTATCATTCGCCCAATATGCCGTCGAAGCATTTGTTTCTGAATGTGATCCCCCATCAGTTGTTGTAAAAATGGTTGCCTTATTGGCTATAGGTAAACATTTTCCTCAAGTGACAATATCGAATGGACATTTAATTATTTTGTTTTTCTTATCTTTGTATCCAGTGTGTATCTTGTTTGTTAATTGTTACAGTGTGAATCTAGGAATGGCTGTACAAAATGTTTTTGCGACAGCAAAAATGATTGCTGTTTTGATCGTCATATGCGGCGGTGCTTGGAAGCTCTTTCAAGGTAATCTCTATCAAGTCTTTAAATTAGATTAATTGGATTCTATTGTTTCGTTTATATTTGATTAATATAGGAAATACGCAGCACTTGTCTAATGCTTTTGAAAATCCATCACCATCAGTGGGTGTAATTGCAACAGCTTTCTACACTGGATTATGGGCATATGATGGTTGGAATAATTTAAATTATGTTACTGAGGAAATCCAAAATCCTAGCAAGTAAGACCAATGATACAAGATTGAAGATTCGGAACAAAACAATTAGCTGACAAAATTATTAATTTACTTAAATTTAGAAATCTACCACGATCAATTATGATTGCAATTCCATTGGTAACTCTCTGCTATGCATTGATAAACATTTCCTATTTGGCAGCAATGTCACCTGACGAGATGATTGGATCTGAGGCTGTTGCTGTGACATTCGGTAATCGTATATTGGGAATGTTTGCATGGATTATGCCATTGAGTGTTACAATAAGTACCTTTGGATCGGCCAATGGAACATTGTTTGCTGCTGGACGATTATGCTTTGCTGCATCACGTGAGGGACATTTGCTGGATATCTTGTCTTACGTTCATGTCAGACGTTTAACACCGGCACCAGGTTTAATTTTTCATTCATTGATTGCTGGTGCGATGGTTCTTTACGGAACCATTGACTCATTAATTGACTTCTTTAGTTTTACGGCTTGGATCTTTTACGGTGGCTCCATGTTGGCGTTGATTGTTATGCGCTACACCAAACCAAACTATCCACGCCCATACAAGGTGCCAATCATCATTCCAATTCTCGTTCTTGTGATTTCTATCTATTTGGTTATCGCTCCGATCATTGACAAACCACAAATTGAATACCTGTACACAATTCTCTTCATCTTATGTGGTCTCGTACTTTATTTGCCTTTCGTTCGTTGGCGCATGCATCCTGGATTCATGAGTAAGTTTTATACTGGATTTGAATATTTTTTGAGGTTACATTTTTATTTCTTTTTTTTTGTTCCAGATAAAGTCACAATCTTCTTTCAAATGCTTTTTGAAGTTGTACCAACAAATCATATGGCAATGTTTGACTAAGAAACATCTACAACTATCTAATTATATCTGAATTGTATCAGCTTAATGGCGAATTTATTTTTAAATGATAATTTTTTTTAGATCTTAACGCTTCAAATTTTATTTTTATCATTCAAAAGGCGCTCAAATGATGCAAAACTTAGGAAGTTTTATACAATTTTTAAGTTGAAGCAATAAGTCTTATTTTAAAAATTAATTAAATAAGAAAATTATGGCATTCAATGCGATTTCATGAGATGAAATTTGCAGATAAATTAAAAATACAAAAGAAACGTGTAGATTGAAAATTTAGAGACTTTAAAATTTTAAACAAAAGAATTATCTTAAAATCGATTGATGACAAAGTTACGTACATGTTAGAAAGATTCTAGAAAATTTATTGAATTGCACCTTTAAATGAAGGATTTATTTGAAATGTGTTAGATAAAACACAGTAACTTAACTCTACTAGATGTTATATCCAATCAGATGAGATTTCTCTATGGAATGAGACAAAAATGAGGTACTATATAGACAGAAATGGATTTAAAAAGAGCCAATTAATACAAAATAAAACGAGTTTGTAAAAACATGGAAATTTATTGGGAAAATAAAGATTTGAATAAAAAGATTTATTTTTAAAGAGAAGAAACTTGATTGTTTTTCATTTGGAAGCTATTTGACGATATTAAAATTGATTTTACAGCTTTAAAGAGTCATCATTTTAAGCAGCTCAATAAATTGAATTTTATTTGCGACCACGTGTTCAATGTGAAATTGTTTCGTTAAAAAATAACGGTCAAATTTTTTGAATCTAGTACAAAATTTCTTCGATAAGTTCACTAGAAAACTTGTTTGTCAAGCATGACAAATTCAATTTAATTATCCTTCGAATTATTGATCCTATTAATTTTTCACTTACTGATTCAAAACGTCTCAATCGTATCTAGACATCTCTATACAAATTACATATATGAAGTTGACTAGCTTAAATAATAAAATGAGAGAAAACATACAAAAAAATGGAATTATATTATTAAAATTTGGTAAACAGCAGCATTAAAATGAGTTTTCTAATAAATAATATTACAAGACAAATTGTTCGTAATCACCGTCAGCTTTTAATACAATGTAGTCAATTCGCGACAGATGGCAAGATCATTGAGGAGATGACAAAGAAGAATAAAGTGGTAGTTTTCATGAAAGTAAGATAAATTCATTTTTTTATGCCAAAAAAAGACATTGGACCAGGGTTGTTAAAACATTCTATTTTACAGAATATGTACACATATCCAACACATTTTGCATGTTCACGTGTACAATGTGTGGCAGAATTCATATATTGGCAGATAATATATGTCACACATTGCATATGTGCACATATTTTATGTGTGATGTGTGACACATTATTTTGTGTCACATATTTTATGTGTGATGTGTGACACATTATTTTGTGTCACATATGAAAATGTGTGATGTGTGACATATATTTATGTGTGTAGATATCATGTGTAAACATGCAAAATCTGCACATATTTATTAATTTGCGGGACTAAAGAATTTATTTTAAAAAATTATTCATACATAACCAAAACAGTCAAATATCTACACACATAAATATGTGTCACACATCATTCATTTTCATATGTGACACAAAATAATGTGTCACACATCAAATATGTGCACACATCACACATTTTCATATGTGACACAAAATAATGTGCCACACATCAAATATGTGCACACATCACACGTAAAATATGTGCACATATGCAATGTGTGACATATTATCTGCCAACATATGAATTCTGCCACACATTGTACACGTGAACATATTTTTAAAAAAGGCCAGATTCTATTTTTAACTACCCTGCATTGGACATAACATTATGAAATTCTAGGGCAATCCAGAAGCTCCGAAATGTGGATTCTCAAATGCTGTTGTACAAATCTTTCGAATGCATGGAGTTGATTTTGAGGCTCATGATGTGCTGGCTGATGAAGAACTTAGGCAAGGAATTAAAGATTTCAGTAGCTGGCCAACAATTCCACAAGTATTTATAAATGGAGAGTTTGTCGGTGGATGTGATATCCTTCTACAAATGCATAAAGATGGACAATTAATTGATACACTATGGAAGAATGCTGGAATCAAGAGTGCATTAGCAGAGGATGAGACTGAAGGCAGTAAAGATGACGAAAAGTCAAAATAGTCAGTTTAAATGCGTAATAGGAAAGGCTTTATTAATTGGTCTGATAGAATGAGTTACAAAGCGATAATAAAATAATATTATTAACCAATTATAATTTGTATAAATAATATAGCACACGTCTGTAATATGTGATTAATTCTCCTTTGCCTGACATGAAATGTGTATTAGCTCTCCAAAAGGCAGCCTTACAAATGCACACTGATTGCTGAATTTCTTCTTACAGACCGAGCATAAAGTCATTTCAGTGATCAAAAAGCTCTTTGATTCGCAACTCATATTCTGTTCCTTCTGCTGTAGATTCTCTGCATAATACAAGCCTTTAAACATTTGGAACTTCCTCTTTTGCTCTAATTGGTTGTGCAGAGACACTTCGAGGAACTTTTTCAGTCTTACGATTGGAATGTTGTCAGGAAGGATCTAGAAAGAAAATTGATATCTATAAAGGAACTGATAAAGTTCAGCTTTTAATATATGATACTTACAGTGAGAACAGTATGTGGATTGACTCTCTTAGCATTCTTTTCAAGAACATTCAGGACAGTTTCTATGTCAGGCTGTAAACATTGAGGATGAAGCTTAACATTACTATACGGCGATACAGTTGGTGGATTAAGCAATAATCTTATCAAGATTATGTAAATTTCAGTATAATTAGTTCCTGCTGAGCAGTAAACTTGATCACAATATTCAATTGCCTTCTCTACAACACCAAGAATTTGGATATAAATTGCCAAGACTTTTTCATGCTTTGAAAGCTTTCCAAGAACTATAGCTCGTTCTTCAAATAAATCATCGTATGGAAATTCTACAAGAACTTTATCTGCTGCATACTTATTTGATGTTTTCAAGAAATTAATGAGCTTGTCACGCATATTTTGTAATTCAATCTTCTTTTGATAAACTTTTTCCAAGTCTGGATCACTTTTGAGATTGAAAATTTGTTCCTTATATTGCTGAATTAGAATATTATGAAACAGTGGCTTAACTTCATTCCAAATATTAATGATGTGCTCTAAATATTGAATGACAAGTGATTTATGATTTTTTAAAAGGAAATCAAGCACATCCGCACGCGGTAAGTTCTCAACTTCCTGAATATCTTCAATAAAAATTTTCAGTCCTTCTTGAGGATGTTCTTGAATGACAAAATCAGCAAATTCAAAGATTAATTTTTTATGATCAGCACCAAGATGCTGTAGATATTGTACAATTCTTTCATGTCCAAAATTTGGTGATGTCTTGAGCAATGTTAATGCTCGTTTATGTTGTCCTTTGACCTGATATAAAATTATTAATTCACTGAACTTTTTATATGATTTTAAAATCTTTTCTGATTCCTCCAAATGACAATTATTTAATCTTATTAATGACGACACAAAGGAGTCATTTGTCTCCAAATAGCACTTTAGCAATGTTGTGTCAATTATTGAGAGCAAAACCTTGGGATTTCGTCCAAAAGCCTTTGTATTTCCTTGAATCTTTCCAACTTGTGAACGGATTTCCACCAAATAATCAATTAAGGCCAGCAAGCCATTTTCTAAATCTTTATCTGTAAGCTTCGGCATTTCCCTCATTAATTCAGATTCAACCATTGATGAAGACATTTGTCTCATAGTTGGTTGTGGCTCACAAGACGTTGGTAAAAGATCGGGAAATAATTTAATGACATTTGTTGGATCAGTTTTTAATTTTGAGAACTCAAGCATAGCTTCACGGAATTGCTTATTAATAAATAAGTCATAAGCATATAACGTTTGGATTTCATGAGTTATTGACTGCTTATCTTCATCAGATTCTTCAGACATGGATGTTAATTGTAAAGCAAGAAACCACTTTTTGTCCTGAAGTAAATTCTGACGTTGTGTCGCAATATCAATGCTTTCAATGCACCAAAGATGAGAAACGGAAGCTGCAAAAACTAATCCTTGTTGATTTATTCGTCCATTAATTAAAAATCTAGCCTTTTGCAGTTCTGGAATTGTCTGAATTAAATTATCCTTTTCTAAACCTGATTTGTCGAGTACTCGAATTTCCACAGAATCAGTCACTAATCCAATAAGATAAGGCTGATCCCAAACAACAATTGATGGTGGTTCTGACCATGTTATTGTTGGCAATGATTTGCCACTCTTTGGATCTAAAATTGATGCTTTATTGTCAATTGACAAAACATTATTTTTAGCATCATCAGAAGTTGGAATCGTTATTAAGTGCTCATCTTTGACGACGGCAAAGAACTTTTCATTATCAATAAGTGATACACATGGATCAATTGATCTTGACGAGCTGGTCGTTGGAAATAGATCTTGCTTCCTTCTTTTTTCGTCGGAAATGTCAAAAAGAACGTATTCTGTTTTATATCCAATGCAGATATAATTTCCTGACCACGAAACTACTTTTGGGATGTCTGAAAGTTCAATGTCTGGAGCAAACTCAAGTAATTCATTTCTCTTCCAATAATAGAACTGCAATTTCCTCTTAACTGCTACACAAACTCTGACAACAAGACTCACTTGATCTATAGAAAATAATAAAATTACTCAAAGCTATTATTTTTGAAATTATAGTAAATTACCTGTTAAAGTTTGAGTTTTCTGGACATCCATTGCGAATGTACTTGCTCCTTTGGTTTTTATAGCTAGATGAATCAGTGGAAAGTTGTGACGAGAGATGTCATTCACAGATAAAATGCTATCGGATAGACTAAACAGCAAATTGTAATCCTCGATCACTTGAAGTTGCAAAATTGGCTTCTTACTGAAACTCTTATCATATTGCAACAATTGAAGCTCCATTTTTCCATCCACTGACTCTTGGAAGCAGTATTGCAGTAAATGTCCCTGTCTGAGAATAAAGAAAAGATAAGAAATTTTAGATCATAATTATTTATTATTTTCTCACCTTGTTCCAAGCAATACATTGTTCCTATATCCTGCAATTGATTCAATCTGCACTGATATTTTTGATGGTGAATGAAGTGTGTATGCTTTATGCATCATTTCTGTTTAATTTGTAGTTTTATTAAATTTCTTCTAATTTGTTTTGATTTTTCACAAGCTTTCAAAATATCCAAAGCTCATTTTTTCCAAATTGAAAGTTTGAATTTGTCGCTACCGTTATTTATTTAACATTTTTATAAAACTTCCATTATAAGGATTTAAAGGATTGTTTTGGCTAAAAGCTTTTTGGTAGTGAATGCTCATGATAATTTCAGGTAACAAAGTTACCCTCAGAATTTTTTATATTTAAAATTACCCAAAATAAGCTACATACGACTAAGTACATGCATACCAATCATTATAATCAATTTAAATTCTGTAACACGACTAGCAATTCCTGTGGTCAATAGATCAACGAAAATTGTCATGCTTTCATCACTTATGCCTTTACAATTCTAGAAAAAAAAAATTTATTATTCTTGAATTAAAGAAAGTCAGAGTGGGTGTGACTCAAAGATAATACAATTTTACATAAGTGTGATAATAGATCGATTATTTAATATAGTTTTATAGCTGTGACATTAAGGAAGACGTTAAGCAACCGGTTTGTATTTAATTCACAACTTTTTTTGTACACATTGTGATTGGTCTTAATAGCACGTGCGTTTAATATTTTATGAATCATTTTTATAATGTATTCAAATTAATAATTGACACATCATGACAACGGCATCTGCTGATTCGTGCCTTAATTTGTGGTCTGATTTTAGAGTATTAAATTCTTGCTGACATGCCTCTTTTTTTAAGTCAGCAAAATATTAAGTTCTGAAATGAACATACAAGATAACATGAAACGGCAAGAAACATGAGTTGATTATGTAGAACATAAGAAATTCATTATTTCGTGGAAACTTAAAGTAAGCTAACATGAATAATGTTTAATAAATGTAACTTAATAAGCATTTAGTAAATATTAATCATTCCAGGCTGAATACTGGATTTCAATTAAATATCAGGATAGTAATACAATATTTTAATTGAAGAAGTATGATCCAGAAGATAAACAATTAAAAGGTTCAGTAATAATGTAAATTTGATACCTAAAGTCAAATAGTTGAATTTAAAATTTATAACGCACATTTTATTTTTGAAATTTTTAACGAAACTGAACGAAAGCAAAATTTTAAATTTATGAAATACTAACGTCAAAAACAGAAAAAAGTAAATTTACATTACCAAACATTCCAATTTAATTAAGTTTCAGAAGGTTTATAAACCAAGTTTTATAAAATGTTATGATAACAAGCTCAACTTAGCACGTTTAATGGTAAATATTATTCTTTTGAAGATCCGACCTGTGCATAAAACTGATAAAACATAAATTGTAACGCAAAATGCTTAATTATTTTAAAAAAGATACAAGAAGATTAAAATCCAATAACTTTATAGATAAATAAACAGCATAAAAGTACGTAAACATAACGAATAGGCTTGATTTAAACAATTTTTCATAGAAAATTTCTCCGAAAACATTATTTTAATATTTTTCTAAGTTTATGTTGATTGATAAATCAAATTATTAATTAAAGTCACTTTATATAAGTCTAGTTTAGGCACAAATCATATCAAATAATTGAATTAAATTTTTATTATAGTGAAAATACTTGAGCATTTAAGTGCCGTGATTGTGTGAGTGAAGTACATCCAATACAGATATAAAGCAGTTCGGAGAGACTGACATTTTCAGTTTGATTCCGCTCATTTATTAAATAAAACTCCTACTGAACAGAAGTGTAAAAATTTCTGCTGACTTTTTTCTATTTTTCTTATTTTTAAAAGTGCTACAAAAATAGATCATAGACGAGAAAGAGTGTTTAAGTATCCATTACATAATAGATTAATTTAGGATTAACAAAAGTTTTTACTGAATAAATTGTAAATATTCGTGAAAAATAAGAATCCAGTTGTGAGTGAAAAAAGTAATAACCACAAACAAGCAGAAAAAAAGGGAGTTTTCCATACAAATAGAGAAGAGAAAAAAAGTTTTATTAGAAAGTAGTTAATGTCAAATCCAAAGTATCAGGCATTAAGAGCAAAAGATCCTTCTGAAAATACAGAGGAAGCTGGAACAATGTCTCAAACAGTGTCAACAATTCCTTCGACTCATTCGAGTCAACATTTAATGAGTCCTGAAGTTGAGAGTGTCATGACTGAAGAGGACCGAAAAAGTACGAGGAGGGGAAGTGAACAAGAGCTGTCGTTTAGCTCAGTGACCAAAAGTCAATGGTTTACAGTCGCAGTCTTGTGCTTCATTAATTTAATTAATTATATGGATAGATTTACAATTGCTGGTGAGTACAATTGCTGTAATTAACTCTGTCTCTGTCTACCTGAAACTGAATGTCTTAAGACACGAAAAAATAAAAATAATACATTTGTAGACCATTGAAAAAAAAAAGTATCGTACGATATAAATTGTGGGGAGAAAATCAAGCAGCAAGAAAGTGATGAAGAAGAAGTAGATTTGCGAATGGTTTCACGTAGTCATTTTCTCAATTTGATTGAGTTTTTGTATTTTTCCACAAGTCTTTGCATTATTTGTGTACCTAATAACTTACTGGATGATGGTTGGCAGTGCCAGTGTGATTTCAATTATATTAAACGGTCTAATTAAATCCATCTACACAAAATCTCCAAATTTCTAGTCAATAAACACAAAAACGTAGCTTATTATGCCACCGAAATGATCAAAATAGTTGTATCAATAAGTTAATGACGTTATTCTCGCATCCATCGTGGAATCATACGATCTCGATTGAATTACAATTATCTCCTACATTTATTCACAGTTTATATTTATTTATTACTTAGTCAGGTCATACGATTTTCATTTTCATTCATACTTATTTTTGCTGCTGCGTATTATGATTTGTTTTTATTTATATTTTTCTGGTCTTAATCATTTGTCCTTCACGGAGAATCTCTCGTCTTTTGATTACGAGAGCTCCATAATCCCATTCTGATTACATTTAATGATATACAGTCAGGGCCTTTTGTTTGTGTCGAAACGTGACGTAAGGGTTTCCTATTTATCTTAGACTATATTTTTTTTTATTATCACAGATGAATACACACTATAATAATAGTATAAATGATGGCGTGAATTGCTCATTGTACACTTAGTTTCTCGTCATTTTTTTTCTTCGTCGAATCCCACATCATCATTTATTTTTTTGGCCTCCCTATTAAATCGTACGATGATTCATGACACATTCTGTGATTCATTGGAATGCAAGTGAATATACTACATATATCGTTTCTATGAAGCAATCGGAACTAGTGTTATTTGTTTGTTTTTCAATTGGGTTTAAAATAACTTCTGATTATGATCGCTTGGTTTTCAAATTTTGTGGATGAAGCTTTATGTCAAATTTTAACCGTTAAATTTTTAAAATATTCTAAATGAAGCCAACTTCAAGTCAAGCATATTTTCATAAAATTCAAATAATAATCCGTTATAAGTTATTAAAAAAATTAAAAATGATGTCCAATGTCAACTTGCCAATGTCATTTAAAGACTTTATTATTTGATACAAATATTATTGCATTATTGTTTTGGTTAAAATTTTAATAATAAATTATTAATAATGATTATTGGCCACGCAAAAACCAGGAACGAGTTGCTTCTAGAACATTCATAGCATTCACGAAGACAGAAATTCACTCGTATTTGCACAACCACACCATTCCGTGTATAATAACTGGATTCAAGAAATATCTTCTTCTTACCACAAGCATTTCCATATCTAACAAGTCGGCGAAAAAAAAACCCACATGACTTAAACTATTGATTGCTTTTTAAACTTTTTAAGTACAATTCCCTTATCACATCAATGCGATAATGTTAAAAATGAAAGAATTAACACAGTAAAAATATTAGGTCGATTCATGTTCATTCATACGATTTGTTCATGATAAGAATCGTATAAGCGGTATGAGGCAGACAGCAAGGGCGAGTGATGATGCTTTTTGGAGAAATTCATTCATAAGCCAGCATAACAAACTACCACACAATCAGAAAAATTCACGTGTATACGACGATTTTTATAGCGTACTACTCACTTATTATAATGCAAAAGGAAAAAGCAGCATATCGTATGATGAGAAACGACCAATCAGAGCGCTTGTAGTAAAAAAAGAGAGAAAATGTACAATTCGATGACGCTGCTCATGTAATGTATTTTTTTTATGAATGTCGATGTACAATAATAATGTTTATTAACCGACAAATCTAAAAAAACTACAAAGTTCAAGTAAAAATAATATTTAGGAAGGCCGTAATGTTTTCATTTCGTCAAGAATGGAATGTCTCGCGTGATTTGTCGACGCATGTGATGGAAGAAGAAACAATATTGTAAAAACTATTTATAGCTTTCAAGATCGTCAAAGTTCTTAAGACTTTCGCGCTAGATATGCTTTTTTGTGGGCTCGTCCTTTACTTCTTTGTTATGTCCTAAACATATACACACGGAAGAAGGTATCGAGAGAGTGAGAATAATCGTTAGACTATTAGGCGTGCATTACAGCTTTTTTAACGGATATTCTCCCCTTACATTTATCGTTACATGCAGCTACAAGTGAAGAATCTCTCGAATAATATTGAATTTTTGGTGATGATGTAGTCAGTTTTGTAGAGTTTCAAGGAATTCCGAATATACGATATGAAGCAATTCTTTTATGACTGTGTTATTTTTGATTGTGTATACATATTTCGTCGGTGGCGCTCTTGAAACTTATTTATCACGAGTTTATTATCATCGTCGAATTTTTCAAGCACCTAATTGCATAATGATTACTGCAAGCTCATCAAAAATAGAATATTTATATTTTTATAAATTCATTTAAAGTCTTCCTGTGTTTATGAATTGAAAATCAAAATATTATGCTACACATTTTAATGGACGGAATGGTGATTATGTCCACAATTTGTCTGTCTCGTGTCGGATTATTTTGAGGTCAGATTAAGCTATTTTAATGTGGTTGTATGACATGTGTTGGAGCTGACACGTGAATCTACAGACATTCTCAGTCAGTGAAAGAACTGGAAATATGAAGTTCAAAAATAATGGCAGTTATTTTTCAAAAAATTTGATCAAGTTCAAAATTCAAATATTTATTCACCGTTATTTTTCAAATATTTTTTCATCATTACGTCTTGACTCACATTCTAAGCATCAAAATTGCGCTTTCTACAGCACTTAATGAGTTCAAGTTTGATGAGTAATATTTTTGTTGGCACTGACCGCCTAAAATTGACGTAGAATTTCGTAATGTCTTCTAGTTGTTGCTCTCGAAAAATCATACGATACTTAGTTTGCATAACCCTATACACATATTTTTTTCTCTTTTATTTTTGCCACATAAGCTCTGTCGAGACCAATACGAAGTAATTTATTGTTTTATGTTTACAAATGTATGCAGCAGAACGGCGCGTAATGTTTGTTATCACGTGTTGGAAATTACGTGTACACTTGTAGCATTTATACTCACATTCGTGTGACTTTAGATTATTATTATTTTCTGATGACATTCACATGCAATAATAATTTTCATTTTTAATTAAAATTTTCTTATTTTTTTGCATTCTTTCAGGTGTTTTGACAGACATTCAAGACTCATTTAACATACAAGATGATGAAGGTGGACTTCTTCAGACTGTCTTTATTCTCAGTTACATGATATTTGCCCCAATCTTTGGATATTTGGGTGATAGATATTCACGCAAAGCAATCATGGCTTTCGGAATTACACTTTGGGGTGCAACGACACTTTTAGGATCGTTTATGAATAGCTTTGGATGGTTTATTGCGTTTCGTGCTTTCGTCGGAATTGGTGAAGCCAGCTATTCCACAATCGCTCCAACAATTTTATCAGATCTTTTCGTACACGATTTACGATCGAAAATGTTGGCTGTCTTTTATTTTGCAATTCCTGTTGGTTCAGGTATTTTTAAGCTTGTCCTTTCACCTCCATAAATATATTTTAATTTGGATTTTTTTATGTCTTCTTTTTATTCATGAAATGAATTTCACCTTCAATCAATGACAACAGGCTTAGGGTAAATATCTATATTGATTTATATCTGTCTATATCTTCTCATACAAAGATTTCAACGGTTAAAAATTTGAATTTTCATAACTGAAGCCAACTTCAAATGGTACAAAATTCTGTCAATTTTCAAATATTTTATTACCATTATATTTTTAAATCGTCATTAATTGTATGAGAAAGATATATGCATGCATGCATTACATCATGATCCTCAAAAATCCGATTATTAATTTAACATTAATTATTATGATTATAGTTATATCGTTGGATCTGAAACAGCAAAGGCTTTGGGATCATGGCATTGGGCATTAAGAGTCACCCCAGCTTTAGCTTTAGTCGCCGTCGTACTTTTATTCTTTATTGATGAGCCAGAGAGAGGACAAAGTGAGGGATCATCACATATGCAAACAACATCATATGTTGAAGATGTTAAGGATGTCTGCAAGAATAAATCATTTATGCTCTCAACAGCTGGTTTCACTTGTGTAGCTTTTGTTGCTGGAGCACTTGCATGGTTCGGACCAAAGTTCATGCATCTTGGACTTAAAATGCAACCCGGAAAAGAAAACATTCAGCTTAACGAGTATGTATTACCCGTAGTAATGCTACTAACATTTTACATATATAAATTTGACTTTTTACAGAGTTTCTTATAAGTTTGGAATCGTTGCGATGTTAGCTGGCCTAATTGGAGTTCCATTAGGCTCAGCACTCGCTCAACGTTTACGTCCAATCGATTCAACATGCGATCCACTGATATGCGCTTTTGGATTAATTACTTCTGCGCCATGCGTTTATTTGGCACTTGTTGTCGCTAAATATAATGCAAATTGGTGCTTCTTTTTCGTATTTTGTGCACAATTAACATTAAACTTGTGTTGGAGTATTGTTGCGGATATGCTATTGGTAAGCTGCTGTTGTTATTCAATACATCAGCTAGCTCTACTTTAATTAATTTAATTTATAACGTAATATTTATCTCATTAATTTGAGTAATTGAGCGCGCAGATATTTTCATAGTGGATTATGTATGCTGAATTATTTAATTTAACTTTGATTTTCTTTTACATTCCTTATCACCACTTACACATACACACTTATTTTATAAATGACGATAGACTGTAAATGTTTATTTATCGCTATTCTCTTCCACTTATCAATATTTTTAGTGTTTCCTTTATCTTCGGTGCAATAACTATGAGTGCAGGCATTTTGGGTGTTCCTCTTGGTTCCTACTTATCGACGAAATTAAGTAAACGATATCCAAGAGGTGATCCTATAATCTGTGCAGTAGGTTTACTATTAAGTGCCCCACTGCTCGCCGCATCGATGATTCTCGTAACTGTATCCGCTCCACTCGCTTACATCTCAGTCTTTCTCGGTCAAATTGCACTGAATTTAAATTGGGCTATTGTCGCTGACATGCTTTTGGTAAGAATCCTGCCTGTTTATTTTCTAAATTGCTTTCTCAATTATTTGCCTATTTTTTTTTTAATTTCCTTATTTCTGTCTTCCTGTCTCCTACTTCTTCTTCTGTTTAATTACCTTATTATAAGTGTACGTTTCGTAAATGTTTTATTCTTTGGACTTCTCGGGAGTCTAATCTAGTCTCCTTAAATGTGATATGGTTAATTGCTTTCATTTCCGTTTCCATTCATGACAATTATTTTATGGTTTATTGCTCAAATAATTCAGGATACATAAGTTCCGATTATTGAAATATTTTTGCAAACTTAAGTTACTAATCGTAGATTAATTTGATGAATTATGAAGTTAATTAAAGTAGATCTTGTTGTTGGAAATGAAAAGAAAATTGCAAGAGACTGTATGAAACATTTACGAAATGATCAGCGCCATCTTTTAGTGCGTTACACTACTAAGTTCCTTTATTCTTTCATACTTTCTTCTCTTCTTTGTTCTTCAATTAGTTCGTTAAGAATTTTGTCACTAATTCTACAATTATTTTCAATTTATTTTTCAAAAACTTTAGTACGTTGTAGTGCCGACACGTCGATCGACAGCTGAAGCATTCCAAATTCTCATATCACACGCCTTTGGCGATGCTGGTTCTCCATATTTAGTTGGTGTCATCTCTGAGTCCATCAAAGTAGTTTTAAGAAGAGATACAGCTTCATCGAATTTTGGTCGCGGACCATTGGAAAGTCTATCTCAGCTTGGTGAAAATGCAACAACGACAATTGCATCATTAATTGCACCAGAAGACTCAACAACTGTGAAATTCACTGCTCTCCAATATTCTCTATTTACGACGTCATTCGTAGAAGTCCTTGGTGGCGTCTTCTTCCTATTAACGGCAGCATATATCCTTAAAGATCGTGCAAATGTCGACAGAGCTGTAGCAGGTGAGAAAGTCGATTGGTAATTGTTTATTTTATCATTTTCATCAATTTTTCTTTCTGCAAACTCATTCATTTAGCATCGGAACACCTTGAAAAGGGTATTATTGAACTTTCTGACTCTTCTCGTTCAAGTCTGTCAATTTGACTACATTTTAAATGTCGTCTGACATGATAATTATATATTTTTCAAGTTATGGTTTGGCTGGGATCATAAGAATATGTTTCAAGATCTGTCTTCAAAATTGGTGTATACTATAGTCTAATAGGAAAAGGTTCAAGAATTGTCTGGATTAAAAATGGTTTTATGCAGTGTTAAGACACCTCTAAAATTACAGTTTTAGAATTTTTACCGATTTTTTTGAATATTTTAAATTTATTTTGTAACACTGGTTTTATGTCGTTCAAAACTTTTAACGGTTTTCAAAAATTCAAAAACTTAACGAAACTTTCAGTTCAAAAATTGAACTATACTTTTTTAAAACTTTAAATATTCGTTAATTCATGAATAATTGATGTTCGTTACTAATATTTTCATTTGTAATCATTATTAACCTGTGAATCGTTTATAAACCTTTTGACCCTATAAGAATTAAACTAATAAGATTATTTTTTGTAATTTTAGAGAGTGCACAAGTTAACACAAGTAATCAGTATGTAAATGAAGCAAATGAAGTGTCTGAGTCGTCGGGATCGACGGATATGTCAGTAGACAATTGATATTAATCTCGTGTAATTACAAAATTAATTCATGGTAGTTAGGCAATGATCATCAGATTCAGAATCAAGAAGAAAGAAGAGAACATAACAGAGAGATATAATTCCATTTCATCGTCATTCTATAAATAAGATAATTCATTTGAAATGCTCAACAATGGATAAAAGTGAGAGAGGTGTGAAATGGATTTGAAAAAGTATAGTAAAGGTGTACGCTGGTCGATGAAAATGAGCCAAGTGCTTCCGTGGTTTGAACATTTTGTTTTTATCATAATTCGCTTAGTTTTTTTTTTTGATGATGATTTCCTCCGACAAATAATTATTAATCGGAAACAACATCAATTGTACAATGAAGCACCGATTAAAAAAAGAAGTAAAGGAAGAAGAAATTACTGTATATGTAATGAGACTGTGTTTTAGCTTAATATTTACATTAAATATTAGTTGGTAATTCCTGAAATTCATTTTGAATCATGCATCAAGTCAAAAAGTGACCAAATTAAGTAAGTCAAGATGATTTTGTTGATAGGGAGGTCGTGTCAAAGCTTAAAAGTTAGCTGTATCCAAAATGTAAATAGATTATAGTTGTCTAAAAAGGAAGTGAAGCATCAATGACTTAAATTTTGTGATAATTCATCAGATGAATTCATTTCATTAACCAAACAATTTATCAATGATGCTGACTTTTTGCAATTTTGTGCCTCCCTTATTAATTTGCATCTTTCCTTTCATCTCCATTTGTTGAATTATATATATAAATATATTTTAAATTGAAATCCTTTATTCTATTCGTGCTATATTATAAAGAAAATAAATTGCAAATTTTTTGCTTATGATAAGTTGAAATCTAGACTGTTAGTATTGTCTTCAGCATAAAGAAAAAAAAAAGTCATATGTAATCTCCATTAATAAGAATAATATAAAAATTTATAGCATTATTAAATGTTAATTGATAAAAAAACTGCGCTGAAGGTTAAAATTAAATTAAATGATTAAAAAACAATACCTCTAGTAAAAAAATAATAATTTATTACTTGAAAAACATTTTTTATTGTAAATTCGTAATTATAAAAAATAGGTATAAAGAAGAAACTATACAAGATGAATAAAATTAAGCAAGTTGAAAAAAAAAAGAGTATAAATACTTAAATCACGTGCTGTTTCATTATAAATTCAAATATTTACATTTTCAGTCATTCACCTTATCGCTGGCATTTGATGTTTACTGATTATATAGTAACTGTCACTAAGCAACCTACTTTCGTGTTATAAAACTGTTGATTAGTTTTACAAGCTTGCATGTCATATTTATCATATTGAATTTGTGCATGTTTAAGCAGATTTGTTGATGATTAAAAAGTCTGATAAGATTCCTCTATGAAGAGCATGTCTTTGGATAAGGAATACAATGATAAAAATACTTGAATCTGTGTGATTCTGCATCTTCTCGTTTAATTCCATCCTATATTGACATCTTTTGTTTTGTCTGTTTTTGAATTATTTTACAATTCGAATCCTCAAATCGTGAAGCTTAGCAGGAAACTAAGATTAAATAATCATTAAAAGATTCAAAGGCACAAAATGAACTGATTTAAATTGCATTAAGTGAACATACATTTTTATTTAAATTTCGTGTTACATCAATTGTCAGACGGGAAATATAAAACCTTTAAGATAGTCATTTAATAATGTCATTATATTAAAAATTACGTGATTTGTATTTACAATTTAAACTTAGTAACTTTATCCGATTAACAACAGCTATTCTGAATCATCAATAGGAATATTTAAAAGTTTGTCGCATAACTTAATAGCCTAAACATCTCATGATACTCATATTAAAGACTAGAAAGTTTGACATAATTAATTCGCATGCTTCTTGTTGATCAAATTGTTCTTTTTAAGTTGTCTCAACGCACATTTGGCTGCTGTGCATTTCGCTATTCTATAATTTCGTCCAATTCCACGGAAGATGCCTTTACCGAAAACTTCTACCGTCACTCGAACTCTTCTTCCATCAGCCAACTTTTCTGGTTTACCAAATTTAGCAGTTTCTGGTTCCAATTCAAGTAATTCTCTAATTGGTGATTTAGGAACTGATCTACTGAATTGCTCGATTTCAGGACCCATCATTTTATAATAAACCTTCCATACAGCATCAAGTGACATGTTAGAATCAAGAAAAACTGCGCCTGCTACAGATTCAAAGACATCACCTAATGCTTTTGGCACTTCTACATCTTCAGCCTCATCACATTCATCTTCAGACATTAAATAATATTCTTCACTAATACAATGTCCATTTTCATGCTGAATTCGTACAAAACGATCGACAACTTCATTCAAGGCAGGCGATAAATGTCGAAAATATTTATGAAATCCATGACGTACAGCAAGTGATGCAAATATAGTGTTATTGACAAGGGCTGACCTTAAATCGGTTAAAGCGCCAGGCGAATGTAATCTGCGATCTTCATACAAATGACGTGTAATTAAATAATCGAGAACTGCATCCCCTAGAAATTCTAGACGTTGATAACAGTCTGTTAATCGATTTGGTGTGTATGAAGCATGTGTCATAGCCTGTAGTAAATACGATCTGTCATTGAACTTGTAATCCAATTCCACCTCAAATTGTTGAAAGCCATCCAATAATAGCTCTAAAGTGTTCTCAGCATCAGGAATGCAGTGTAAAAGTGGTGATTTTGGTGGCATCCAATGACCATAAATTATTTGCTTCATCTGTCCATCTTCTTCAACTGGTTTTGTACTTCCTGCTATTCTATTTTCTAGGCATGGAACTTTAATTATTGGTAAAACTCTTATTCCAAGCCATGCCATAAACAACAAAGCACCACGAGCTCCACAATCAATCAAATAAGCTCCAATCAATGCTTCAACACAATCAGCAATAGATTTATCTGGAATTGAATGCTGCGTCACTAGATTGTATGGAATAAAGCATGGGAAGTTATCAGTAGCTTGATCCCCTTTTCCATTTTGTTGTGTCTTTATGTGTGCTTGAATTTGAGATGTGTTTACATTTTCTGCTGCATCGTCGCCATCATCAAGGCTCTGTAATTAGAGATTATTTATTTTTTACTTGTAGATTAATGATTCATGTCTTGAATGAGTTTTATTAAATGAACATCGAAAAACCGTTATGATTTTTTTTAAAAAATCTGGATCTAATTTTAAAGTTCAAAATTTGAACTAAGAGATTTTTGAATTTAAAGAAACCGTTAAAATTCAAAATTTTAAACACTAATATGAAAAACATAAATTCTCAATTCAAGGTAAACTGTGTGTGACTTCATTTATAAATTAAGGGAGTTTAAATTAATAAATCACGTTTTAAAGTGTACTTACATCGTCCAACATTCCCAATCTTTCAGCACGCTCACGTACTAAACTGCATATTTTTTCACTCGACAGCTGCTTGATGTCTGGCAAATCTGCCAAATTCCAATAACAAACTGGGATCTGTACGAAAATTAGTCTCAATTAATACAAATTAGCAATCTATAGTTAATATTATCATACCTTAGCGTCAATTAAAGCTTGTTCTAGTTCTTTAGGAACAAAATAGCACGGAGGCAGCCAATTATCTTGAGGCTCAAATTTTGTCGCAATCATGCTTTCGCCCAAAATCTTTTTCCTTCCCAAACGATAAAGGTTCAAGTTACTGACTTGCTTCGATCTCAAGTAACTCAATTTTCCTTCATTCACATTCTCGTAAGTGCAATAAAGATAAGTTGTTATTGCATATTTAAGGAATGAATCACCAATGGTTTCAAGACGTTCCAAATTTATGCCATCATTAGCATTGGACATAGTTAAGGCTTGAAGTATAATGCTCGGATTTGGTCCTGGATGATTATTAAGATCCGGTTGATGGTCAAAACTAAAGCGCAGAGGAACCAATGACTGAATAATTGGTACAGGATTAAGGAATGTGTCTAGTGACTTTCTCTGATCAGAACTTTCTTCACGCTTTTTAATTAATTTATTTAAATCATTCGAAATTTCTAATTTTATCGTTTTCTGTCCATTTTCTAGCATTTTGGTCTTATCTCGATCAGCAAAGTGATCAAACAAGTCACCACATCCAACAACCTCAAACACTTCGTCGGAATGTCGTTGCTCATACATAGAATTAAGCTCATAAAGATCATCAATCGTTAAAACATTTTCTCGGTCCATAACACTTAAAATCTCATTTTTATCTAAATATGGAATTAGTTGGAATAAATCAATGTCCTCGTCAATTATAGATTCATTGTTATTATTATTTTTATGACTATATCGAATTCTAGCTGGAACTTTATCATCTTGTTTCACTAGAATTCCACTCGATCGAATTGATGCCTTTAATTCGGTCGTTGATTTCTCAAAAACTTCTTCGTGTAGCTTTATATTCTCTTCTAAATCAATCAGCTGTGTATCGTCAATAAAGTCATATCCAATAGATATATTTTTCGCCATTTGATAGCGCTTCTCATTTATAATTGTCTCATTAATAAATTCAATTCTTTTTTGTCGTCTCTTCTTTTCAGCTTCAGACTCAACTGCTTCTGCTAAATGGTCATTCTTAAATTCAATTTTCAGTCCGTACTCATCTTCGTTGCTGTCATTAATTTCTCCATCATTAATACTTTCATAATCATCGCCATCATCAAAATCATCATCGCTATCTGATGCATAGTAATTGTCATTGAAATGATTTGTGATCTTTGTGTGTGCCATTGATGGCTCCATATTCCATGATGTTGGGGATCCATATCTGTCAATGTAAACATAACGTATTTTAAAAATTTGAATTTTATGTTCCGAAATTTGAATCTCAAAAATTCGTTCAAATTTTGAATTTCAAAAAACCGTTAAAAACTATTACAATTTTAACGAAAACCTTTAAAATAAAATTAAAGCTCGACAATTACTGTACCTGATATTCCGGCTTGAGCACATCTCTAAATTACTGGGCAAAATTCCTAATTCATCATCAAATTCATCTAAATTTTGTGCCATTTCATTTGACCAAGTTCCAATTTCTAAAATATGCTCGCCTTTAGCTTTTTGATCTGCTTCCTCGAGTATATCGTTGGCTGTTTTCTCTGTGTCTAAATTTTCCTTTTCTTGATCAGCCTTTTCAGCAGTTTCTTCACTTTTATTGTCATTTTCTTTATTTTCATGCTCAATATTAATTTCATCAATTTGTGCATTAATCATTTTAGCTTCTCGAGTTTTCTTTAAAACATCAGCAAGTGTCCAACCAAAATTCAACATAGGCCATTCAAAATTCTCATCCTTAACTTCCAAAACACCCAGTCCTAAATCAGCAGAAACTTCCATTCGAATCTCGTCAGCTAAAAGCAGTGCATTGATACGATACAATACACATGGCAAGCAAACAGCTGCACGCCACAAACTAGCAGGAAATGGATGAACTGTACAAAGTTCTGGAACTAAAATTTGTTTTTGTTCCAAATTTTCGCGTTTCGCTCGTTTTGTTTCCTCAGAACTTGTTGGAAGTGCCACACCTTTTCGATTAACATAACGTGGTGTAAGGAAGTTGAGTCTAGCGCTTGTATGATCAACATCCAGTAATGGCTGCTTATTATTCTGAATCTCAATGTTATATTTTTTAAAATAATATTCCCTAAATGTGCCATAATTTTCGCCTGGAAAAGAACTTTCTGGTGTCAAATGAAAGCAAATTTCAGCAACATAAAAGTATTGTGGTTGATCTTGATTCCTATACCAAGGCATAACAACAGCATCTTTAAATCGATTATTATCAAAAGTTTGATTCTTTCTGTCTTCATCACTAACAAATTGAGGTGTCATGGCAATGCTTTGTTGAATAACTTGTAGAAAGTTCCAATCAACTTCTATAGACTCTTCATTACGTATTACTGGAACTACAAAAAAGCTATTTTCAACAGCTTCAGGATCAAATAACATTAAATATTTTCTTAATCTCAAAACATTTGTAAATGTATAATTAATGAATGTATTAATCTTCTGGAGCTGATCATCATCAAGTGTCACATCCGATTTAATTAGCTGCAATGAAACTTTTACTTCCCCACTTCTTGTAAAAATTGGAAATGCTGAAATTTTTGGAATCTTTTTTGTCGTCAGAATTCCAAAACTTTGAACAGCTTCTTCAGGCGGATAAATCTTTCGTCCGCGAGTATTTTGTTCCTCAGGAATTGGACATTGTAACACCATTGTGATGTGATAAAGGAAAGCTTTAGTTTTAGTCGATGGACGACATCCTGAAAATACTGAAGCAATTCTTTTATAATAATACTGTCTTCTTTTCGTTGTGCCTGGCCTCAAATCACAATTCTCATTATTAAGTTCCTCATCAACCTTTTCTAGCTCAAATAAATCCCAATCTGGTTCAATAGCTTTAAATCCTTCTTTTCCAATTGGCTGTAAATTGTCATCAAGTTCTCCACTTTTGTGTAACATTCTACAAGCAATTAATGCAGCTACACGTCTTGCGAGTGTTCTAGTTGGCATTGGAATTCCATTTATGTCACATTTCATAGGAGAATTCAGTGGCAATCTTAATGTATATTGATATAAAGTAATTCCATTCCTAATTGTCTTGCAGCATCGCCATATTGGCGTTAATTTTGTAAACGTGTCGGACGGAAGTTTAGCACAATATTTATTTATTAAGGATATAGCAGTTGATAGATTAACTTGGACAGAATCTTGTGTTGCTAATGGCTGGTAAGATTGAATAAAAGCAGTAAACTTTTCAGCATGTGAAATTTCACTTATTGGCGGTTCTTTATTTTCACATTTTCTAATCAGCATCTTCTCAATTTCCATATATTCAGCAAGCTTGTCAATCTGTAATTTTGTAAATTTCTCTACTGGATCATAAAGTTCTAATGGCAGTGTCTCATTATTTTCACAATCTTCTACACATTTTTCTTCAACAATTGTTATTGACTCTTCACTGTTAGTGGTGCTTTTACTTTCTAAACTTTCTGAGTCACTTCCACTTTCTTCCTCGTCATCATCATCATCATCGTCGTCACAATTATCATTAGTTCTGTTTCTAATAAGATTACATGAATAATTGTGGGTTTTTGGATTCAATTGTTCATTTAATAGACTTTTGTAGTAATTTTCATTAATTTTTGGCGAAACCATAATTATATGTAGAGCATTATTAGCTCTAGCACGTCCTTTACAGTACACATAACTTCTATATGTTGATGGTTGATCAAATCTTACAACTAAATTACATTTTGGTAAGTCATATCCTTCTTCTAGTACAGTCGTGCTAATTAATAAATTACATTCATGCATTCGAAACTTTTTAAGAACTTCCTCTTGCTTCCGATGCTCATTTTCAGCTTCCTTTGCATCTGTTATTGGATCAGCAATTTTATCAATTGTATATTGTACGTTTAGGAACTTTAAGTCTGGGTCATGCCTTGACATTTCACAGAATAAACAGAATAGAACTTTTGTCGTTATAACGGAACTGCAGAATATTAATCCACAAAGGATATCCGATTCATTTTGGTTTGGTCTTTGTCGTGGATAAAATCTTCGACGATTTTTAAATCTACTGAAGCGATGATGATTTCTAGCCACTGGAACCACTGGCTGACTTCCAATTTCCTTGCTCATTTTTGTTACCGATGCCTTCAAAGTCTCCAAGTCTGCCTCAATTTTATTAATTTTTTCACCTGTTGAATTCATCATGTTACACATTTGTTTAATGTTAAGATCACTAATTATTTCCTTACATTCTATCAAGTCGCCTTTTTCAGCCTCTTCTGTACGTTCGACTTTCGGCTTATCCCTAGCTTTTTGCTCTCGGACATTCGTTGGCTTAAATAATCGAAGAATTTCCAAAATTCGAGTTATTTTTGGCGTTGAAAACTTCTCAATTCGTTCACGTTCGGTTTTTATAGACTGAAAGATTAGATCGCAAAAGGAACGGATTTGGACAAGGGTGGAAGTGACTAAACATAGTAATAGAAAGTGTCTTTCATATTTTGTCTTAACTTTGAGCTTCTCAGTTTGCATTAGAATAATTAATGCTGCCTTATCAGCACAATAAACTCCTAGTTCATCTAAAATCAGTAAGAAATCATCGAGTATCCTTAATGGTTCATCCTTTGGATCCGGAATATTTTCAAGCTCATCTTTATATTCATCCTCGCTGTATATTTCAGACAGTTCATAGCGATGATCAAGCAAGTAGGCCTTTTTTGTTAGTACCAAGTTTCTTATATAATTTGAGACTTCCGTTTCATTGGATATGCCACATTCAACAACAAATTCGATTGGTTTTGACGTATATCTGTCAAGAATCATGTAAGATTAATTATCATCATGCTGTTAATTAGAGAAAATCAAGGCGTATACACTCGGGATTTTTGGAATTAATCCCAAAAAATCCCAAGTTTCCTACAAAACTCCCAAAAATTCCAGCAGAAAAAAAATTAAACTCAACATATTCATTTACTATTATATTTTCATAAACAACATTCTAATCAAAAAATAAGTTGATAATTAAAGGAAAATTTGAAATATTTTGTTCACGGATTAGGAAAATAAACGCTTTTGCGTTGCACTTGTTGAAATAAAATTGAAAAAAGAAATTGAAATAAAATTCCTCATTTTTCTACTAAATGGTACTTAATAAGTGCTTTTAAGGTAAATTAAGCATGCACAATGATAAAATTTTAATTTGTTAATTATTATTAAGTTAATTTTTGGATAAAATTTCAGAATTCAACATTCTGTACAAGTGCAACGTTTACAAAAAGTCAAATATTTTGTTAATTAAAGCATGTAAAAGGAACCAATATCAACAAAACGATAGAGTTTACCGTTTTACATAAGTGTTTTGTGTCCTTGATAGCTTAAAATCTCACAAAAAAGAATTTGAAAAGTCTTAGAATACTATCCTAATTACAAAAAAAAAGTTTGTCAAGTTATCTATGCTGGTTGCAGTTCTGTATGCATTTTGATCCACTCAAATATCTATAACTTTTTTCAGAATCAATATTTTGCAATCCGTTTTCAGTTATTGCTAGATTAAATCAGTACCTTTAAATAGTGTATAAAATTTGTATGAAACTTATACTTCTTATGGAAAAGTTTTGAATGTGACTGACGCAAACTGAAATTTAACAAAATAGTCAAAATGAGAATTTTTTCGTCTCAAATATGTTTAAATATGAAATATCATCAATAAAACTCTAAAAAATAATCTGATCTTTCATTTTTTTTTTTCTCAGCCAATAGATACTACTAGGGTCGTACCTTGAAGCTTCCTGATAGCAAAAAGTTTTTGAAATGCAAATTTTTAAGTTTCAATAGTCATAAATATCATAAATCATAAAAAACCACAAATCAATACTTAAATTTGTTTCTAAGTGGTATTTCTAGAAATGACATTTTTGAAATTTTTCTTAGTTTTGGGTCGCTCACCAGCCACAGAATTACAAAAAAAATTAAATTTTACCCCATTAAAGCATTAAAGCTTGCAGTTTGTTTTACGGAGAACAAAGTACGTGAATTAGGCATGGAAGTTGAACGTGTAATATGACTTTACTTACTGAAGATTCGCAAGACGCAATCAACATACGAGATGATATTGATTCTGAATTTCTTTTCAAGACATCAAATATTGACATTGATCAAGAAATTGATATAGATGTTCATCAATTCCCAAATGACTTAATAAAAAGAAATATAAATTTTTGAAGGAATAATTCCTTCAAGCAAATTCTTAATTAATAGGAACTTATCAAGACACACAAATCATGATTACTTAAAACTGCTTAAAACATAGATATAACCAGACGATATAAAAATAAGATGTATAAATTTGACCAGTATCAGAAAAGGAAATATGACATGAGTTTTAAATATGAATTACTATAACAAAAAGGCAAAGTAGAAAAATATTTTGGAGATTTTGTAACAATTGACAGTTTAAGAGCTAAAGGTTGACAGCTTATTATGTTGATAATGAGAAAATTGTGGAACTACACAAAAATGTGTTTTACAGCGTCAGTAGTTTTTCTGTTACACAAGTGAACCAGAACAGGGTTTACCAAACTATTAATTTATATTGATGATGAATAAGTTTTTATACCATGAAATAACTCTCTTAAAAATTTTAGAGCAAATTTTCAAGATTTTTACTTTCATAAAAAGAATTAAAATTTTAAAAATCCAAGAAAATCCCAACTTTTTTTCGAGTGTATACGCCTTAGAGAAAATAGTTTTTTTTACCTTAGTACAGTTACAATATCACTAGCAGTTTCAGCTTTCGCCTTAAGTAGTGTCTCTAAATATTCTAATTCAGCACCAAGACGTGCTGGAGAGCAAGCGGCAGAATGAATTGGCCCAGCTAGACCAAATATCTTTGGCTTTTCGAGTGTTGCCTTATAATAATTAAAGAAAATGTCTGTTATTTCTGACTTTCTCGTCCTATTATGACATTCATCAACAACTATTAAATTAACTCTATTTAGGTCTATATAATAGCATTCTAGGGCATCGAGGCATTGCTTTGTCTCTAATAATATAACCTGATTGTCATAAATATTTTCCCATTCAATCTCATCGTCATTTAATCCATTTAAATTAATAACTTTAAGATCAGTAAGATAGTAGATGAGATTATAGGCTGATTTACTGCTTGTAAGGAACAATGAGATTTTCCGGTTCTCATTTCGTCTAATTTCATGGCTTAATTCTTGGATTAGCTTTAATGCACAAAATTCTCGTGCAGAAACTGATGACAAGCATATGATTATATTCCTTTCTTTCGCTGCTGATAACAATTCAATTTGATATTCACGTGGTGTAAAGCATACAGCCGAAAGATTAGACAAATTTCCTTCTACATTCATTTTTCTAAAATAAAAATATTTATTTCATTATTATTTGATTAAATTGAAATAAATCCAACTCACATTTACTTTTATAACAAGGAACAATCAGTCTATTTTAATGATAATCGGTTCCCAAGTATCATTTTGATGTATTTACTAAGTTATTTTAATTAAGAAACTTTTTTTCACAAAGATTTTTAAGATTCCGAATGTAAACAAACTCGATTGAGGGGTTGAAAGCTACGAAAGTCATTGATAGACTAGCGCTTCGAATATACTGGTTACCGGTTAATTAAGGTGCCTAACTTCTCTTAGTTCTGAATCTTTAATTAAGAAAAACTTTTTTTGACAGTTAAAAAACGGTTTTCAAAAATTCAAATTTAATGTTTCGAGATTTTTTTTACCTTATTTGAAAAACTATTTAACGGCTAGATTAAGGATCCCTAAAAAGTCAGTAGACATCCAGTTTCAGAAAAAACTATTGCATATATCAATTATAGAATTTCACACACATATTTTAAGGAAGTCTATTACTCATTATTTTGTTCTGTTTCTCATATATTCATCAGTTGGACTTAATAATTGGACAGTATTAAATGTGTTGAAAGACGTGCGACAATAATGCACGAAAATTGTCGACTTGCATAATTTTTTATGAAATATAGAAACTAAGTCAAATTAAGTAACAAGTTTAATTGTAAGGAGTCAATTTGAAGGTACGATTATTATTTCAATGTCAATTTACATGACATATTGCTATCTCGTGTCTGTCAATCATCCCTAATTCTTTGAACTCTATGTTCCTTGTGATAACAAGATCCAGCACATAGAGCATAAAGAGAGAACATTTTGGAGGTCACGATCGAAATTTGATTGAATAGAAATAAATTAACAAGCGGACTCAGAAGTTGTGATTCTAATTGTCTCGTGTATTAATAACAAACTGTTTCATTTTACTCTATTATCTTTCTTTTAAGGTGCTGTGCTCTGTTCATTCATAAAGGCTGCAAGCTGATAGCGAATTATCTTGAGTAATAAAATACATCAAGTGCAGACCGTCATGGAAAATGAAATTTATACAATCGAGAGAAGAGACAAGTCAGTGTCAGTTGCTCAAGATCAGTTGGAGCATAACGTTTCGTTCGTCAGTCAACAAAGGTGATTATTAAGTTTTTTCTCATCCTTACTAAGCATTTTTTTTTTTGAATTATTTATTGACGCAGTTGAAAAACATAACTTTATGATGACTGTGTGGGCTGTATGGCTTCACGTACTCCAAATTTTTCTTTCGTGTATAGTTTTGTGAATCATCCAAACATGTAATATTTCGCAATTTAACATTCAGTCTTTAAAACTGGTTTTGTTGAGGTCGCGCTTAATTGTAAGAAATTTTAAGTAACCGCGCATCAATGACTGATATGAATGGAGATAAGCATTACATTTCTAAAGCTGTATAATGATCAATTTTTTGTTTGTTCTTTAAAATTTTCTATCAAGATTAATTTTGACATTTTTCAACTCACGTTTTACGACTCGAAAGTATGTGGAATGTCACGCAATTTGAATCTTAACACGCTTATCTATCAGACCTTTAATTGCTTTAAAAGAGAAATAATACTTTCGGCAAAGATTAATTACTGACGGGTTACTAAGTTCGACACAATCTTGGGTTTTTATCACTTAATTGATGTTATTCAATTAGTCTCAGACAATCTTTTTTAGTCTATAAACCTTCTTATCTTTATGATGCATGCCTTAATTGCTTGCATTCTACAAAGTATATATTATCTCAAGCTAGTGATTCAAATAAACTTGAAATTCTCTCAAATAAATGATAAGCAAAGCATTATAAGTACTTCAATTTCTCTCTTCCATTTGCAGTTCATACAGATCTGGTTCGGAGACACCGAATGAGAGCAGTCAGCTACTTAGTGGACGGATGAGAATGAATCTTACTAAATTTCAAACTGTTTTAGGAAATCGAAGTCTTTTAGTGGATGTCTTAGCGATATTTTTTGGAATTGGAACATGGGTCGGTATCAATAGTTTATGGATCCAGTTGCCGTTACTCGTCAATGTACTTCCTGAATCATGGTATCTCGCATCATATCTCGTAATCATTGTTCAAATAGCCAATATTGGGCCCATCAGTTATACAGTAATACAAAAATTATGTCCGATTCCGGATAATTTCATCATTTATGCACTTCTGACACTTGGTGTCGTTGCTGGATGGTTCATGGCATTTTATTATCATGTCACAGCATATATGTTTGAAGCTCAACGATCTCTACTATTCTTCGTCTTCGTCTTTTGTTTTGCACTTGTTGGATGTACAAGTTCGGTGCTATTTATGCCGTATTTTGGACGATTTCGTGATATTTATTTGATAACATACTTAATTGGAGAAGGATTGTCTGGATTGCTTCCTGGATTATTAGGACTGATACAAGGTGTAGGTGGAAATGCTCAATGTATATTAACAAATTCGACAGACACTGGAGAAGTTAATAAGACTGAATATCATCCACCACCTCGATTTTCAACCCAAACTTTCTTTATTATCGTCACGTCACTATTCATTTCAAGTTTAGTTGCATACATTCTCCTTGACCGATTAAAGTCTGTACGAAAGGAATACGCAAAAGTGAAAATCTCTCATGGAAATAAATATCAATATCATGATCATGAAGAACAAGTTGACAATAATGAGGATAATAAAGCACCAGCAATTACCACAGAAAAAATCAAGAAACTATCAAATCTAAATTATCGTGCACTTTTAGTTCTTCTCGGTGCCGTATGTATGATCTCAAATGCAATTGTTCCATCAATTATGCCTTTTGGAACTCTACCTTATGGAAATATCACCTATCATCTTTCCGTAACATTGTCAAGCATAGCAAATCCACTAGCCTGTTTTATTGCCGTTTTCCTTACTGGAACATCCATTAGAAATATATTAACATTATCAGTCATATCCATGCCGTTCGTACTTTATTCAATTATTACATCTGTGATGTCACCAACACCGCCGTTTATGGGAAACGCTCTTGGAGAATCTCTTGTCGTGAGTAGCGTTATTCAAATTTTGCAGTAGATTTTTTGATTAATTAAAACCTTACAAATGTTTTCACAAATGAGTTTGTATGGTTTCAGTCAGTGCTTCAAAACCTTACAAATGTTTTCATGGAGAATTTTTAAGGTTTTAAAAGTGTATTCGAAATCTCGAAAATTATGGAATTTGTAGCGTTTTTTTAAATTTTGCGATCGATTTTTTGATTAATGAAAACCTTACAAATGTTTTCACAAATGAGTTTGTATGGTTTCAGTCAGTGCTTCAAAACCTTACAAATGTTTTCATGGAGAATTTTTAAGGTTTTAAAAGTGTATTCGAAATCTCGAAAATCCTTGAATTTGTATGGTTTTGTAAATATTCTCAAATGTTTTTGAAATCACAAATTGTGTATAAAAAGTCATTGACATTCACTTGATTGCTTTATGACTTCCACAATTGATAATAATTTGCATTTATAGCAATTAGGTATTCTACAATTTTACAATGTTAACAAAATACTGCAAAAAAACAAACTTATAAATCATTTAATTCAATGACACCTTTTTGTTCGAATTTCAGATTTTAAGTTGGACACTTGTTATGGGTTTTACATCGTACATCCGTTTAAAGATTACGACAATATTCAGGCAGCAAGGAGGAAAGAGTCTTGTATGGGTCGGAGCATGTACACAAATAGGAAGTTTTTTCGGATCAGTTTTATCATTTGGACTTGTTAATTATACAGGAATATTTGAATCGTTCAGGCCTTGTGATTAAATTATTATTTTAAATCCCAATTGAATTTATGTTTTTAAATTTTATGTGCTTAAGTTTTTAATAAAAACGATGATGCCAGGACATTAATTAATTAAGAAAATTGACAAATATTTTTAAAATGTCAAGACTTGATAGTGTAATAGAGTAGAATATATTGTAATTCTGATACAGAATAATAAAACTTTATAAAACATTTTTCAAAAAAAATAACCGTCAAAATTTATTTGAATTTCTTGAAACAAAACAATAACATTGAATTTTTTGAATCATCAACAATAATAATAATTTTTATTTAATTTCACTCATTTCTCGTTCAATAAAAAGCTTTAAAATGTCAGCATACGATATTGTACGAAAGGGAAAACTCGTACTCAAAGGAGAATCTGAAAAGTAAAGCTTACATATCAAAATATAAACAATAAATAATAATTTCATTTTTTCAAAGATCCAGAAAAAGGAAGCATAAAAAAGATAAGAAGGAAAAGTCTGAAAAGGAAGAGAAAGAAAAGATCGCTGTTGATGAAGATGCAGTAGAACATGGAGGCTGGTGGAGATGTACAAAATTGACAGAAATTACTGGAAGTATAGTAATCGAATTTCAAGAAAGACAGTATGTAAAGTCAGTCGATGACGGAACATTCATTTTGGGAGTTAAGCATGATAAAGGAGATCCACCAGCGTTTGACGAAGAGTTTACAGCATTCATAGTTAATGACAGCAAGATTTACATTAAATCTGGATATGGAAAGTACCTGAAAATAGACACCAATAATGTCATTGTCGGTCGATCTGAAGCTGCTGGAACTCTAGAATGTTTTGAGCCAGTTTGGGATGATGGAAAAATGGCACTTCAAGCTGCAAATGGCTGTTTTCTCAGTATAGATCCAGAAGATGATCAATTAGTTGCTATTCATAAGAAAGTCACTTCTAGTGGAGATGGAGTTTGTATAATTCGATCAAATGCTTATCGCGGTGAAATTATATCCAAAAGCGCTCCAATCGAGGAAAAAGTTGAAGATTTGGACCAAATTGAAAAGGATTATGTGAAGAGGTTCCAAAAGTTTCAAGACAAGAAGATGAGAATTTGTACGGAAGACAAGGATGGACTTAAAATGGCAAGAGACACTGGAAAATTGCATGAAGGATTGTTGGATAGACGTAGTAAAATGAAGAGTGATCGTTATTGTAAATAAGGATTTATCCATGTCGAGGACCCCCCCCCCCCCCCCGTGTAAATCATAACATGACGCAAAACTTATGTTTAAGCATTAAAACATTGATCAGAAATAAAAATAAAACATTCAAAATTGAGTTTGTTGTCAGTTCCAGTTAACGTTTTTTACTTCTGTTCTCTCTTAATTTTGCCTCTCTCTCTCTTGTGTATGTATGCCTTTCCAATGTTGTTTTCCTTAATTTTTTTTCCGTTTGATCTCAGTTGTGTCAGTTGCTTGTGAACAATCCATTCGTTGAGATTCGTGCGCGTTATTGCGCTATATCCATTTGATTTTAATTTCTTATTGAGAAAGAAAAAAAAGGAAAATTAAGAATTATTAATCGAGTGACAAAATAATCATTGCGAAAATAAGGAGAATTTTTGTGAATTCAATTAAAAATTTGGAAGTGAAAGTGAAGTGAAAAGATTCAACAAAATGAATTTCTGTTGTTCTATCGTTAAATTCTTCGTCGTTCTGATGAACTTGGTGTTTTGGGTACGTTTAAAATTATTCAATTAATAACTATGAATCATAAAAGTTTGTGAAAAGAAGCATAAAATTTAAATATTGAAAAATCATAAAAAAAAAATGTTGAATGAAAAAAAAGCAACGCAAAAGAACCACCCTTATCACACACTAATACACACATTTTGCATTAACATGGCAGCATCATGGAAATATATGTATTTATATTTAAGGGATGGAGAGCATTTTCATCTCAATGAAGGTCATTTACAGAGAATATTTTAAGGATGTCAGTGCGCACATTCAATAGCGCCATGAGAGAATGAAAAATAAAGTTTTTTTTATTTTAAATCAATTAGAATTTGGGAAATGGACCGAGAAAAGACAGTCATCCTGAAAAAAATGAATCACTTTATGATATTTTTTAAAAATATATCAAAACACTAATAATATTTTTTTTTCACGTTAAAAACATTAAGGCACGAAGCATTTTCCTTTGCCAATTTTTTTTTTCACATTTTCGCTTGCGTCGACTGCTTGCCTTAAGATTCCTACTTATTGCTCTCACAAACTATTGTGTATATCTTTTTTCCTATATCATTGTATTGTTCCATTTTTGTCTTCTCTCTGTTCCTTTATGTCGCAAAAGAAACTCACTTCAGATGATGATTATTGATTCTTTTCTTCCAATTCTCATCTCTTTCCTATTGTTGCTTCTTTCATTCCATTTCTTTATTATATTTATTTTTTTTTGACCTGTGATTACATCCAGAAGAGAAATTTTAGTTCCCATGCTGATGTTAATTGTAGAATATTTCATATATGCTTTCCATTAAAGGAAATCTTGGCGACAGAATTGCGCGCTAGAATACATGAATGAATTGAGTGAGCATGGAACTGGTTTAAGTGAAATGAAAGATCCAATTGTGGTTAATTTTATGCAATTTATGATTTTTCATAAAGCAATGAATTATGATTCATAGCCTTTTTGAATAATAATCAGCTATTCTGGATCATAAAAAAATGTGACCTCAAATGACTTTAGTTGATAATGAAGTCACTCTGTGTTTACAGATAGAAAATTAGTATTAAGTTTCATAACTATGAACGCCGCATCTCTAGTTGGTATGCATTATTATTAGTTTACATATGAGAAAAAGAAATTACAAATAAATCTCTAGCTGCTAGTTGCCATTTCTTACTATATTTCGCGATTCCACATAAATTATGATACATCATGTTGCTTCCATTTATGGGAGGTTTCTGGACGAAAAACTTTTGTTTTGTGTATTGTCTGTCTTACGGTCTTAAAGTATTAAGAAATGTCTTGAGAACCAATGTTGTGTAGGTAGGGATATTTTGTAATTAGACAGAAATTTAACAGTTAATTTCAAAATAATAACTGACAAAATTTGAATTAAAAAGGTACACAACTATCCAGAAATTATACTAAATTTGAATTCAAAATTAACGTTAAATTGCATCCTTAAATCTCTTAAAAAAAATTAAATCCTTAGCTCATTTGACCCAATTTAAAATAAATCACACACAGGTCAGTGAGTCTAGACGATTTATCACACAGATTTTATTGCACCCGGGATCTAACCTTGACCCAAAAATCTTCATTTATCTCTAATACACAAGTTATATAACTGTTCCTAGGAACCTATTAGACTATAAAGTTTTACAACTTACTGCTTATTTATTTTTTATGAATTCTGACTCAGAAACTGAAGATGCTCTTTAATGCTGCTTTCCTTTCTTGTCATGTCATTTGAATAGTACTTTCAAGACTTTTACATTTATTTTTATCATGAAAGAAGAGACGAATAATAATTTCCTATTTTCATGTAAATTTTTTTTTTCTTATTCCACATAAAGAACTCTCGAGGTACATAAAGTTATTATCAGCATTGAAATAAAAAAGTTTTTCTGTAAACTATTACATGCAAAATCATGCTTTGAGATATTTTTTAAGTAGCATTAAGAGCTATAAAAGAAATCATGTTTTTTGAGAGGGAAAGAATGTTGTTTGGGTGGAAATAAGCAGTGCTTGTAATTTGAGAAGGAGTAGTGGATTCCTGCAATAATTATAATTAAAATGCATACATTTTGAGGTAATATTAACTGTACTTTCAAATTCAAAAATTAACCGTCATATCAGATTCAAATAAAAAGTTTAAATTCTAATAAAACCGTTAGTAGTTCAATTTAAAAAATCGTCAATATGTGATTGCAACATTCATTGAATCAAGCTTCTAATTATACCCAGACGATAAAAATTGAAAACACTTTAAGCCAGTCAGTGACAAATTATAACACGCTGGAAAATAAAAAAGTAATTGTACATTAGGCATGCAAAAAAATCAACAAGTTACATTAATTTAGCATATAATTATAAAGCTAGACATCATGCAACATTTCGCATGAACTACAAAATTTAATCTACATAAAAGTAAGTGCAACCACGCGACAAAATATAATTTTAAATTCATTTTCTAATAAAAAAAAAATCTACGGGAGTATTAAAAAATGTAATTTTTTGCAAAAAATAAAATATTCATATGAGCAGCAGTTGGATGAGTAGGAGTCTCTGAAAATTGTTCCATAAAAGCTCATAAAGAATTTTGCTCAGTTGTGTAATTTAACAAAAATAACTCGTAGAATGAGACACAAAAATTGAAAATAAATTTAATTAAGTCATCAGAGCTCTTTCCTGTAGAAAAAAATTTAAAGCAGATAGAAAATGATAATAGCAGTCGGAAGGACATTTCCCTTCACGTTTTTCAAATACTCACGGCACACTGCCTTTCAATGGGCGTGAATATGATTTTCTTCTTCTTCCTATACACGATACATTTTTTATGAACTATTTTTAGTCAATTCACTCTATTGTTTGCCGAATTAAATATAAGTATAAATATAAAATGAAGAGAAGATAACGTTCGAAAAATGAAAAAAAGAGCAGGAAGTGTGGTAGCATAAAAGTATATACGAAAACAAAAATTAATTTGTACGACAAGTGAAGCTAACCTTCGAGAGAAAAGTCAGGCAATAATCAAGAATCTCATTCCACAAAATTTAATCTCATTTAAAAGGGAATTTCTGCGGCATTTCTTAAAAAAATGATTTCATTTGTTTCAATCAGACGCGCGAGTCAAGAACGGGAAAAAAATATATTTTTTTTTTATTATTTCAATTGAGAATCACATGTGTGTAGTCTTTGAGTATTTCAGTTGCCGTTCAGCCTGTTGTGATGATTTTATGAGTACTTAAAAATAGAATTTTTGACTGCATAGGCAGTCATAGAAGAAAAAGACATTATGAGTGTATTATAAAGTATATAAGGAAAAACTACATTATCATTTAAAGTAGTAAAGAGTCTCGATTTTTATTGTCATGTTTTGGTATTTCTCATCATTTTCTCTCTTGAATGATGTTGATTGAATTAATTAATTAATCTCATTTCGTTTTGCATGATTCTAAATTTATTGCTGTAGAGAAAGAGATCATGACATTGAGCTTGCCATTAATATGATTTTCTTTATTAATTGGAAAGGATTTCTGATGATGTTTGAGTTATTTTATGTTTTTGTGTTTCAAAACCTTGCAATTTCTTCAAATATATGAAACATTTGTATGGTTTTAGAAAGTTCACTGTTATAAAGCTTGAATTTTTGAATTTTTTCCGTTAAAACCATTCAATTCTTCTTCTTCTTAATTAACTTTATTATGGTCCATCAGCTTATTGCTATTTAAAGACCGTTCACAATTCCAGGTAGTTTAATTTACAAATATACACAAAGAACAATCAATAAAATCCAGTCAACTCCAAATGGTTGACAGAAAACATGCCCGTGATAAGTCAAAACAACAAAAAACCATCGCTAGGCAAAAAATTCCATCTTCAGTTGTCGATGATCCAGATCGCTTGACAGTCCTTGTAATTTAACTTGTGATATTCCAAAAAGATTCAATTTTTTCTTATGTCTCGATTGTGATCTGTCAATTTAATTAATATGATCTGCTGTATTCCGAGATGATCGATTCCTGTTTGTCAATGTTGATTTGTTGAAATCCAGTCAGCACCAATTGATTGATAGAATTGCCCGCGATAAATGGGGAAACACACAAAACCCATCGCGAGAAAAATTCTCCTCACAATTGACGATAATCCGTTGTCTAGGTTATGGTTATGATAGAACCTTCTTGTACACGATTGTTGGTAAAACACAAAAAACCCACGTGAAACAATTGATTCTCCTCACAACTGCCGCCGATCGTGATTTGTCAAAGTAATTAAATGTTCGTTGGTATTCCGATGATGATCAATTCCGTTTTATCTAGGTTATGTTCAAAATTTGCACATTTTTTTTTCTAATTTCAATTTATATCCAAAATTTAATTAAATCGCGACTTTGCTGAGTTTTCTCCTTGGTATCTTTGTTCTTTGTTACTTTGAAGACAGTTCCCGAAGGTTTGTGACTTATTCCTACGCGTAATTAATTAATTTTGAAGTATTGCACAATTCCACAACCTCTTCATTCGGAGGTTGGGAGAAAACTCCACCATTCAATTCTCAAAGCTCCATTAACATTTGTATAGTTTTCCATTTAAAAATCTGTTCGATGTATTTTTTTGCGTCACCAACCATAAAAACAAAATTCCTAAAATATAATCAGTCTGTGTAAATTACTATAATATCATTTAAATGTCACTTGTGGTTTTTTTTTTTTTTTTGATTAAACGTCAAAGCTTCAAATTTCACGATTTAAAAATGAGAGATTTGCAATCAGAAAACAACAATCCAAGACATTTTATTGACTGAGCAAAAAAAAAAAAAAAAAAAAACTTTGTCTACTAATTCACACACTCAAATCAAGCACATCGAAAGACAGTAAATCAAAAGAAGATGTATCTTTTATCAACACACCACATGTATCTGGCAAATAAAGCAAAGCAAAAAAGTCAATCGCTTAGAAAAGTCTGACACGTGAAGGCGATAATGTAAAGAAAAACACAAACAAATA